GAAGCCTTCGCTCACCAGACGCAAATTCTCTAGTTTTCAGACGCAGGGGTCTTCAGACCAGAAGTCCTGGTGCGCGCCGGAAATGGCGGAAGTAGCCGGTGGGCTTTGATGCTAACAGAGTTAAGCTAGCGGCTTCTTGTGTAAAGATCTTCTCCAATAATGCAGCTTTGAGGCGTGTCTGTGTTCAGAGACCTTCGACAGACTTTATATAACAGTAGTATATGTTCACGGAGGTGCGCAAAAAGTTTATTTTATTATTAAACGGTACTTCCGCATCACGCTCAAAGCAGTTGCATAAATTCACGGGAGCATGAAAACGCATATGTTCACAAGCACTATGTCCCCCATGGTCAACCCTGGTTTAGTCCTGATGTAACTCCTGTTTTGGCTGTTTACGAGTATTTTCAGTCTGCTCGGTCAGACCGCTAATGTCCCTGTGACCACTTTGCGGCTCTCTGATTGGTTGCTGCCGAGAGTCCCGAGGAAAGGTTCAGCAAAATCCATCTCCTGCGTGCGTCGATTTTCAGCTCCTGCTCCTCCCCTTCGACTTTCCCGCGCAGTCCGTGCATGCATTCCGAGACGCTCGTGCATTTTGACGCTCGAACGCGCGTCACCCTTGACTTTGCATTGAAAGCCGACGCAACGCATGATCCGGTCTGAACCCGGCATCAAGGATTCGACGCGTTTCTTTTCTACCCCGCTACAATCAAGCTCCAGCGAGACAACAAAAGCCATGTATCTTCAAGGATTCAATGGAGGCTAAAGAATTCCTTGCGGGGTATAACCATGACTAGCACAACAACGCCAAGAGGGTAAGACTGTCTATCTGATGGGTCTTTTGTTTTTGTTTGTTATTTTTGTTTTTCGTTTTGTACATGAATGGGCCAGATGAAAAGGCATTTTATTCTTTTATAACTGCATATAGGAGTTGGCTTTTTTTTTTTAAACCCTTTTTTAAAGACATTGCACGTTGGGACAGGAATGACTTGTTATTGTAACGGGGAGATGGTCTAACTGCTAATTTACACATCTCGCGTTACAGCACGTACGCTGTAAACGCGCAGCAGACGCGCGTAACTTTTTTCCATGTTAACCTATGATGATAATTACACTTCTAGCGTTATACGCGCGTATGACAGACATGTGACGCGAAGCTGCGCTCTAATTTAGGATGGAATTCTAATTTCGTGCGCGCACCAATGCGTCTCCCATTGAAATCTCATGTAAAACATGATTTTTCTAGCGGTCCTTGGCTCTAGATCGCATCTACACACACACAGCACTTGTGTCTAAACATCAGCAGGAGGAGCAGCAGGTTTTACAGTGATTCTAGACATCGTTTTTTTTCTTTCATAAAGTCTGGCCTCTGGCCAAACCAGCGCACAGAGACCATGAGGACAAACACATGCATGTGATTTATGTTGCCCTACATCAGTCCTCTGGCCCGTACTGTCCTCTACACTGCTCCATAGACTACACAGGGACAGCATCAGAAGACGCGGACCTGCGCGCACGGCCCGTGTAGATACTCCAAAAAAATGTTACGCGCAGAGAGCGCGCAGTAAACGCGTACGCGCTGTTTACGCCTACTGTGTAAATTCCCTGTAAGCCAGGGGTTAAAGCAAAAAAAAAAAAAAACATTAGACTTAAAATTTTCTCATGGAAATGTATCACATCACAGACAAGGTCCGCCATAGCAAGCCTTATCTCAGTTGTCGCTGATGCACCAGGTAAAGATGAAGTGTGGGAAAGTGCACGAACAGCTGCTTTGTGCACAGTTTCGAGCTGGTGGCGAATCAAAACGTTTTTCCCATTACTCCCATATACATTTTTTTTATGGCATAGTACGCACAAGCACCGGCCACCTTCATCTTTTGGCACCATGACCGCAACGGAATCCCATCATCTCCCACCTCATCAAGCCATGGCCACCTCCATTTATTTTTCACTCCGTTATCAATTGCAACTTGGGCTCCTTCTTCCATAAACAACAAATCCATGATTGTGATTGTACGTGCATGCTAGGCTAGCTTTGATAAATCAATTTAAGACACGCTAACACACTACACCACACCTTTCTTCATCAAGTTTCTTCCGTTCGCTCTCGTTGATTGGCTCTTTGTTATCACGCTGAGTTTTGCATGCAGATCGCAACCAAGACATTATCAAAAGTTCACCAAGACGTTTGTTCCCATTCCCAGTACCAGCAAAGTCAGTTTTGTACATTTCATTAAATAAAAAAGCATTGCGTTTGGTTAACGTAAATTAATTATGTCCTACCTTTCCTCTGGTAACACGCCCAGCTTGTACCGCGGGGCTGCTGGCTGGCTGTTATTGCTCCGTTCGGGATTCAATTTTCCTTCTCCTCTTCTCCTTTTCAAAAGCTCCGTGCAGTTGCCAAAAACTTTAATCTCCGTTTTGCCATTGCAAATTTGACCGAGTCTTCATTTGCGCGTGAGGTCAGCGTCCCATAGAAATTTGTAAACTGAATTTTTAGTGACTGAAATGTAAAGATAAAAATATTCAAACATGCTTTTTCAGGGTTAAAAATTTCAAATGGAAAAATTCAAGCTAAAAAAAATTCAAAATCTTATGACACAAAAATCTTCCATAGCCATAGCACTGATAGAACAGGAGCCAAAGAGAGCAACGACCAAAGACTAGCTTCTAATGCATTGCAAACTTTAATTCAGCTACATTGTCTGATTGATACATGGCATTTGATGAATCCATCAGCTCGAGAATTTTCTTTTTATTCCGCACGTCACAAAACTTTCTCTAGGATTGATTATATATTTGTGTCAAAAAATCTTTTTTAAACTATTTGTGCTACAGATAGGACACTCTTTCCATTTTCAGATCATTTTCAGCCATCTCTTGCACCTTCCAAATTAAATCAGTCCAGACCAGAGCCACACACTGGCGCTTTATTACAACTTTACTTCAAGATGAGGACTTTAAGAAACTATTAACTGAGGATATAACATATTCTATTGCTATCAATGAACCATCAGTGAATGACCCGAGAATCTGCTGGGACGCTGTCAAGGAATGTATAAGAAACTGCTCAATTTCCTATGCCTCCAGATTAAATAGAAATAAAAAACAGAGAATAGTAACTCTTGAACAGGATATTATTGTAATTGAGAGGGAAATTATATATATGGTCACTCCTGAAAAAATTAATAAGCGCCAAACACTTTTGAATGAGCATAGTGACCTGCTGAGACAGAAGGCAGAATTTCAGAACCACAACACAAATAGTGCAAAACCAAGCCGCCTAATTGCTCTAAAAATTAAAAACAATAAGCAGTTAGCCAACATCTCAGCAATCACTACAGAAAAAGGTATTGTGACTTCTGACCCTGCTGATATTAATAATGCATTTAATATCTTTTATGAAAAACTAAATAAGTCAGATGTAACTCATAACAACAAAAAATTTAATGATTTTCTAAAATCCCTCAACCTTTCAAAACTGCTACAAGAGGCTGCAGATTCATTAGGAGCAGAAATCACTCTAGAGGAACTCACTAATGCGGTTAAATAAATGAACACAGATCTCCAGGATTAGACGGAATCCCACCCGAATTGTACTGTGCCCTTTGGCCCCAGTTGGGACCGTTGCTCCTAAAAATTTTCACTGAAAGCTCCAATACAGCAATCATTTCACTTACTTGAAAAAGGTAAGCCTCGAACAGAATGCTCCACCTATCGGCCCATCAGTCTGATAAACACTTAAAGGTGTTTGGAAAGGTTCTGGCAACTACAGAAATACATGCCAGACCTGGTCCATTATGACCAGACTGGATTCATCAAGTCCCGACTCGCATCAGACAATGTCCGCAGATTACTGCATGTTATAGATAGCTCCTCTAAAGCCCCAAACCAAAATGCCATTCTTTCCCTTGATGCCGAAAAGGCATTCAATCGATTAGAATGGAGTTACTTATGGTCTGTGCTTAAGCATGTTGGTTTTGATGAGAATTTAATCTTAATGATTAAAACTCTTTATGCCAACCCCAGTGCAGTGATTATGACAGGCACTTCCTGCTCTCCTAGGTTTCCTGTACCCCGCTGTTCGCGCCAGGGCTGCCCACTGTCACCATTGTTATTTACTCTCTCTCTAGAACCAATAGCACAACTCATTAGACAGTCAGGTGAAACTGAGCCAATCAAGATTCAGAACAGCGTTCACCATATTTCACTATATGCCGATGACATCCTAAGCTATACTTGCAATCCAGTATAAGCAATTGCCTTTTTGCTTGACACCTTTGAGCAGTTTGGCAAAATATCCGGCTACAAAGTAAACTGGACAAAATCCGCTTTGATGCCCTTGAGTCAATTCACAAATGATATGTCTTTTCTTAATATTCTCATTGTTAAAACTATGAAATACCTAGGTATCCAAATTCATCCCAGAATGAGTACTATGATTAATGAAAATTACAATAATACCTTGAGTACTTTAAAAGACGACCTTCAGAGATGGGGAAAACTTCCAATGTCCTTTCAAGCTATTATAATGATCATATTACCTCGTGTTAATTTTATTAGCTCCATGCTGCCCTTAGACCAACCAAAAGGATATTGGAAGAAGTTGCACTCTATTACTAATACCTATATATGGCACAATAAAAAGCCCAGAGTGAAAGCATCTACTCTATATACACACACAAAAAGATTTTTTTTTACGCACACACAAATCTGGTTACGCATGCACAAATCTTTTTACGCACACACAAATCTGGTTACAAACGCACAAATCTTTTTACGCACACAAAAAATCTGTTTACGCACACACAAATATTATTGAAACAATAAAAGCTCCATATTCCGTCCGTGTGGAGCGGATCCCTAATGTGGATCCCCCGAGGTTTCTCACTTTTCTCCCACTGGGTTTTAGAGTATATATATATATATATATATATATATATATATATATATATATATATATATATATATGCAACAACTGGGACAAAGAACTTGACAGTTACCTGTGTCCTGTTGAAGGCCACACGTGCAAACACGGCCTGGGACACACCCGCTCTCTTCAGCTCCTCCCTCACGTTGTGGTAGATGTCCATGGGCACATCCATTCCACCTCCAAAGGGCCCCCCCAGTGTCTCCGGGCCCCGGGCCTTGGCTGGGCTCCTGTTGCTGACATACTGCTGAGGGGAGGGGGGCATAAATTGTCCCAGCATGTGGCTCACCACGTACTGCTGCTTCAGGAGCTGAGCCATGACCATCTGAGAGTTGACCACAGGGCTGAGGGGAGGAGGCTGCGAGGGTACAGGGGCGACAGCGGGCATGGAGGGCAGGGAGGGCCGAGCACAGGCGAACATTAGGCCAGTCTGCTCAGAGGGGGAGGCGGCGGATGCTTCCTGGGGGGGCGGATCATTCAGCAGTTCTACTTCTGAAACAAACAGTGAAGAAAAGTAAAGCTGTGGTACCAGAAAAAAGGAAAGTGTTTCTGTGTTTCTTTCAGATTTGTTTTAAAGTGAATGATAGAAATGCTTTTGGGTAGTGATGTCCCAATCCTGGTTTTAGCTCCCAATTCGATGCCTATATTTTCATCAGTTCAATTCTCACTACCGATCCAATACCAATACTACACACATTACTTTCACATTTAAATGAAAAACAGTACATGTGAAGACAAGAGAAAATTATGACCTATGAAGACTTCTCTCCCGCTCACTTCCGTCAATAGAAGCAGCGTGACTTGCAGTACGTCTTTAGGAGTTAGTGCGCGGACGTAGTGCTCCTCGTATTATTACGCCTCACAATATAGTACCCCTTTTTATCCGCTGAGAAAATCGACATCTTACATTTCTGTGTTACTATACTTTGTATTGTAACACGTCACGTAACTGTATTTAAATAGGGAACACGTAGAAGAGTTTGGTAGCTTCTAACGGGAGCTGATTTGGAACTACACAGTATGTGGAAGAGGCTGCGTTTGTGCTCCGTTTGCATGACAGAGCGCACGGACAAAGACCACACAGGTACATATCAACTAGTCTAAGGTCAGGTAAGAACATATGTCAGTATGTAAAAACGGTCGCCTATTCGGTCCAGATAATAGTTTGAGCATATACTATATGTAATCCTCCATTTGGAAATAAGTTCAATGAGTTTTTAAAAGTAAAACAAAACGGGTGTCTCCTCCATAAACTCCTCTCCTGTTTAGCTAACTGCAGCCGACTCTCGGGTGCATCCAATTTCTAAAATCAACCTTACCCTTCACCTCTCTTCCTTATCATTCATATCATCATTGGAAGCATAAAATTACCCTAAAATTAACTAAAAATGTGTTGTATGTATGTTAGCCAAACCTGTAGCTGCCCTTAGCAGGAGAAGAACAAGAAAGGAGCTTTCTGATTAAATTGGATGCAGTCGAATTCTGTGCTCACATGCGCCCCCTACCCTGAGGCTAGCCTCACTTGGTGATATTACAAGCCGTGGTTGAGTGCGATTAAGACCCATATTTGTTGTCAAAAACACAATTTATGACCCATCCTCTCAACTGTAGACATGTAGATTGTGAAGGAAATATGTTGAACTTTGTTAACCGCAATAAACAGAGAAAACATTTCGATAGCAACACACGGGGCGGGCCTCTCCCCCAGTGAGCTATGGGCTTTTACGTCTCGCCTCACAGCGCGCCGCTCTGACAAATACAGTATGAGATTTTGAGGTAAAAAAAAAAAAAAGTAAATAAAGAAAAGTTACATTGAAATAATACAATAGCACAAAACACTTAATGACTAAGTATTATTGTTTCCATTTTATTCTTTTTTCTTTCCATGATCTTAGATGAGGCCGGGCCTCACCTGCCTCATCTGACTGCACGTCAATGACTTAAACCAAACTTTACACAAAACTTTTACTCTTAAAACCCACATATTACAAAATGGAACCATAAACATCTCGCCTCAAATTGCATTAAAAGTGACATTGTTACACCACTCTGACAACTTGGTGTGGAAAAATGAGCTCTTTAATGTCCCCGGAGAACATAACGAAAAAGAACAGCTCAAACAGACAGCAGCTGATCAAAATGACAAGTCCTTCAGTACCACAGCTTTTTCAAAAGAACTTCGCTGTTATATACCAGGGGCCGCATGCGCTACCTGGGATCTCACGGCCCCCTGTTATCTGATGTATTTCAACAGAATACCGTTACACATGAACTGTTTCTATGTATTTAAACAAGGACAATTATTTCTACAATATCAGAGAAAAGTTTACACACATATTCTAAGTGCTACAACATCCGTGTCTTAATTAGTCCGTTTTTAAACTTTCTAAACTTTTCACGGATTTTATGTCCGCCATCTTGATTTGCTTTAGCTGCCATGAGACGCGCATGCGCAGGTTTGTATTACTTCATAAACAGCTGAGGCAGTGTATTTTGTCAAGGCAGTGCAAACCGAGGGTACACCGGGAGCAAGAAGATGAATGTGTGCCCAAGACGGAAGACGGCAAGGCCGCAAAAAATCATGCTTGGTCATGGCAATGCTCTAACCCTAATATCTGTATCCCTCACGTGGTACATATGACTAAAGAGTATTGGTACCTTTGAGGAACTTGGCCTTCTTGAACTGTTTGTACCAGCGTCCAAAGTCGTGACACTTGGTGGCGGAGACATTTGCGTAGTAAGTGCTGTTCACAATGGAGGAGATCATGCTCTGAAAGACACCAGGGAGATACTTGTGAGACATCAGGGAGATCAGTGAGAGACCAGAAAGAGACTAGTGAGACACTAAAGAGAACAGTGAGAGACCAGAGCGAGTCTTGAGAGACCAGAGAGACACCAGAGAGATACCAAATAGACACCAGTGACTTGTGAGAAACCAGGGAGAGACCAGTAAGACACTAGGGCCCCGTCCCAATTCTCACCCTTGCCCTTAAAAAACACACTTTTGCGCGTGCCCGCAGGGGTTGAAGGGTGTCCCAATACTTAGGGAGAAGAGGCGAGTGCCCTCACACCCCTAAAAACCACCCATGATGCATTACGATAGTTGTTGGTAAAGCAGCTGTTGGGCAAAGCCGCGCCACAATGAAAGAAAACAACATGAAACAAACGGGCGCAAGTTTGTGCGGAACGTGAGGAAGCTCTGAAGAGTGTGTGAGTCTTTTTTAATGCGTGTGTTGGTGCTGTGTGTGGTGACGTACGCTCGCGAAGCGGCCGCAGCGTGTGGCGTTCACTGAGGCTTCAGAGACGTGGATCCATGTTATTATTATAGATCCACGATGTAGTTCAGAGCATCGCTTTAACACAGTTTGCTTTGTGATCCGTGGGATCGCGGCTGTACCGGTCTGTCTCTGTGTGGTACGTCTCTGAGCGTGTACGTGTATGTGCATGTCTCTGTGTGGTACGTCTCTGTGTGTCTGTCTGTGGTACGTCTCTGTGCGCGTATGTACATGTGTCTGTCTGGCGTGTGTGTCTGCCTTTGTGTGTGTACATGTGTGTCTGTATGCGTGTGTGTGTCTCTCTCTGAGTGCGTGATGTGCAGCAGTTTTGTACCTAATTATAGCAACTCTTCATATGAAATAGAATTAAAAACTTCTCATTTTAATAAATACTGTGTTTCAGAAAGTCATGTCTGTGTTAGATCTTATCTGTGGTGAAATCAAACACATTGATAATGCGTGTGACGTGGAACACGTTCGCTGCGTCATTTGCATATTGTCCCCTAGATCCCTTTGCATGGTGTCCCAATTCTTAGGGAGAATGTTGTGAGTGCACTCCCCACTGGGAAGGCACTTTTCTGGTGAGGGCACTCACACCTAAGTGCAAGGGTGAGAATTGGGACGGGGCCATGGTGCCTCCATGGCTCCTCAGTGAAGAGTTACCCAAGCATCTGCAGTGTTCCCTGTGGCTGCTCTTGTGAAAGCATAGAACTCTCCCCTTGATCACACAGCAGGTGTGGCCTAACCCTCTGTAGAATCTCAAATCGCTGCTAAAAAACCATCACAAAGTCCCTGATTCCAGCCGGGATGAAGCTAAAACACCTTCAAGTCTGTAAATAGTAAATACTGTTTTACATAAAGAGTAGATCACCTACATGAATTTCTTCACATTTTAAAGGTTGAGTATAAGGTACTGTAACAGACTGGTGATAGTGACTGGAGGCTCTAGTGAAGCAGACTGCGCTCATGCATTTATGTATTTATGCCTTTCATTATTGATGCATTTATTTATTTATTCGAACAGCAGTGGGGCAGTGGTGTGAGCGCTTCCTACAAACCCTAGGGTAAAAGACTACTGAATCAACTGGGGAAATGCTGAGAACAGGAGAACGAACAATGCATAGTCAATGTGAAAAGTTATTAACAGAAACATAAATTAAATACTCAATACTAATACTTAATACTTCATTATAAACAATGGCAAAGTGGCAAGTGACCACTTGCTGTCAGTCAGAAACACATACAGAAATTAGTTTCCAAAATACAGTGGGGCAAAAGGTATTTAATCAGCCACCAAGTCCTCTCACAATAATTGATGAGAGATGCAAGAAGTGTTCTTTATAGGTATACCACAACTATGAGACACAACACATACTGTTGCTGGCCTTTTGGCCCATTCCTCCATGCAGATCTCTTCTCGAGCAGAGATGTTTTGGGGCTGTTGCTGGACAACACAGACTTTCAACAAAGATTTTTAATGAGGTCGAGATCTGGAGACTGGTGAGGCCACTGCTTGAAATGCTGCTTACAAGATTGGATGCAAGTCTGCATTCTTTCTTCTCCAAACACGAGAGGGTGAGTTTTTTACAAAAAAGTGGGTTTTTTTTGTTTTTGTTTTTTTTACATTATCTTAATCCTCTTCTGGAATATCAAAATGCTCTCTAGTTAATTTTAGACAGGCCTGGACCAATACTGGCTTAAGCCCAGTATTGGGGCCACACCACGGGGCCAAAATGGGCCCCAAGCGTTTGACGTTAGTCATTGGCAACAAAGGGAATACAAGAAAGTATTGAGATGGGTTTTTGCTCTTGACTAAATACAAATGTTCCACCATAATTTGCAAATCACTTCTTTCAAAATCAAACATTGTAATGTTTTAATTTTGTCTCTCACAATTGAGGAATGCCTATGATGTGAAAGGACTTACACAATTGGTGGATGACTAAATTTTCCTCACTGTACATGAGGAATGCACATGTATTAGGCAGAATCTTGTTCAACATTTTTGACCAGACATGGAGTTGGTTTTAGCTCCATGCAAATACTGTATCAGAAACAGGTGTATTCAATAAGTTATTAAGTTATAAGATACTTTTCCCCACTCCAAGTATCAGTGTATAGGTTATTGTACGTCTTCCTTTGTGTGCTTTTTTTCTTTTCTCGGAACACTATTCACTTGAAATAAATAAATACCTAAAATAAACTTCTAGAACGTACCCCTACCCCAAGGTCAAGGACAAAGCTGTTTTTTTTCTGTGCCTTGTTGCAGATCTAATTAGAATGGGCTGAACTGACTTGAGTCTTCTAGTGTCTTACATATATTTTATCCATAGGTTTTCAAGGTAATTCCCATTTGCAAACATGTGATGCACACATATTCTTAAGTTAATGTTTGATATGGACACAGCAGTCACATTGGACAAACCAGCCTTTAGTGTTAACGCAAGACATGCTTATTTTCAACACCAGTTCAGGAGGCTTTCAGAACACAAATGTACACATTCAATTTGAACAATTATACAATAGAATGAACACAAATATTGCTGCTTTTTTATATTTGGGACAGGATGATTTGTTGGACCCTATGAACACTGTTCATATGTTGCGGCTTTCCCCTCACACATTACAATGTATATGTTGTGATAAGTATAAAGAAATTTGCACTACTGCAGTGTGACTGTTTGTGACTGTTGGGGACACATTCTACCCAATTTATATACAGTATATTGATATATGGATCTCCGTGCACGCTGTCTGCTTATAAATGTATTTATTTATGAATTTACTATGCATTTATTTATGGACGTATTTTTATGTATTAATTCATGGATGTATTTATTTATTCAGGGCAGCAGCAGCAGCTGTAGCAGCACATTGGTTGACATTTCACAGGGGAGCAGAGTGAGTAAACAACAGAAGGAGCCGAACATAGGCCATCCAACGAAATAACTATTTTTCACTTAAAGAGTGTACAGCTGTTCATCTTTGATCTTGAGAATATTTAATTTAGCATGTGGCCAATGTGTAGCATTCTAGAATGTGGCCACAGTGGACAGAGCGCTTGTGAGGCAGTAGTACCTGGGACAGAGGACACTCCTTGGCCAGAGAGCTCTGGTTCATCTCCTTCAGCAGCTCCTTCAGGGCGTTCCTAACTGTGGAATGACCCCACTGCTCAGCCGGCAGGTCCTCCAGACTAGGACAGCTGCACAATACAACACAACACAAGTGTAAGACTCACAATAGCAGTTCAACTGTATCCAATTTACGCATATTAGCTTTACTTCAGGATCTCTACTTGAAATAATGATGAATGACAATGCACATAATCACAATTCCTGCTAAAACAGGAGTGGCCATGGTGGTCACACACCTGTGCAGCTGTATCTTAAGTGTGATGACGTGATGGACGTCCTGCAGCATGTCGGCCACTGTGGCGTCAGGAGCAGAGGTCACACAAGACAAGGGTACAGGCTTCCAGCGGCCCACCTGGATGAGGCCTAGAAACACACACATACAATGAAGCTATGAGGAAACTGTGCTGATGATGCAACCAGCCAGACTCCTATTTTGGAATAGTGAGGGCGACCAAACCGATAGCTTTGGAAGTCAGAGTCACAGAGCACATAACAGAAAAACCCCATTCCAAATTGCACCAAACCCCAGACATCTGCCGCCCCGAATGGCTTTTAACTGCAACCATTAGTAGAATTCACATCGTATACAGTAGCTACAGTGGGTTTCCATTTTGTACAACAAAGTAACAGACCCCTTTGAATAGAAAGCCAAACAATATAAATTGTTTTTAGTAAGTGGGGCCTGCAGAAGAATTCATACAACATTCTTAGAAGAAAGAGGTTGCTGGAAGTCAGAAATATTACCCAGGTGCGCTTCTGGTTGAGGATTGGGCGAGTTATTTAAGAGAGAAGAGGCCAATGCTCAGTTGGTAGAGCATTGGCCTTTGGGCCTGAAGGTTGTGGGTTCAAACCCACCACAGGACCTACTCCAACTCCACCTTGATGAGAAGTGGGCAACTGGAACAAGGCGAAAGTGGGCGTGGCAAATGGCAAGCCGCTCGCACAAGTGACCATCAAATGTGGTATCTACCAAGGAGATGCTGTCGCCACTACTGTTCTGCATAGGCCTGAACCCTCTAAGCCAAATAATCAACCAGACTGCCTCAGGAACGGAGCAAAGATCTGTCACCTCCTCTACATGGATGACATCAAGCTGTACGCCAAGAGCGAGAGAGACATCAACTCTCTGATCCAAACCACCAAGATCTACACCCATGACATTGGGATGTCATTCGGACTCGAGAAATGTAGCAGGATGGTGACTCGGAGAGGCAAGGTAGTCCACACAGAAGGGATCTCACTCCCAGAGGGAACAATTATATGATGTATATGATATATAATATATAATTAGGTTTGCTTGGATCGGTTTGCACACCTGGTGTGCAATCCATGAATCTCTTTATTCAAGGCTAGGTTTAAAACAGTCCTCTTTAGTTTAGCATATGGTTAGGAAGGTAAGACTCTGGGAAGGCTAAACTCCTCAGAGTGTCAGTCAAGCTGCATAGGGAGTCAGTTTTGCTGGGAGAAGTATGGTAACTTGAGCACTATCCTCTCCTCCTTCCTACTTTATCTACTTTATCTGTTTAGCACTTTTAGGATTCTGACTGTAGTTTGTTCATTGCTATTCACCCGTTGTCCCATTGTCTGTTTCATGGTACGATGACGGGATCTCTGAGCCTGGCCTCCTCCATCTGCACCTGCGGACTGCCCCGCCCGACCCGCCTGGGAGTGCTTCGGTCCTGCACCGGACCTGTCCACGTTCAGCGGCCACTGGTCCACGTCCTGTAGCTAGCTTAGGTCCTAGATCATTAGCCTGTCCGTCCGGAGGAGCGGATCCCTTTCTCATATGGGTCTCCCTCCCTGTGGGTTTCCCTAGTGCTCCCCAAGGTTTCTCACTTTTTCCCACTGGGTTTTTTAAGAGTTTTTCCTTGTCGATGCAGGAGGGTCTTGTTGGACAGTTAGTGTCCAACAGAAAGGATTGGTGATGATCAGGACACTTTAGCATTCTACAACATGTATGGACATTTTCTTCTGTGTGTGCTTTATATTCTCCATGTGTTTTGGCTGTTGATTCTCTGACCTGTGTTGGTGATCTCAATGGTTTTGTTAAGTCCTCTGAGATGACTTCTGTTGTGACCTAGGGCTATACAAGAATAAATTGTATTGTATTGTGTAATTACAGACGTTAAGGGTAGCTACAAGTATCTCGGTATACCACAGGCAAATGGCAGGCAACAGGCAACAAGGAAAGTGGAAACTACCAAATACCTCCAGCGACCTGCCAGTGATCCGATACCCTGCAGAAATAATCAGATGGCCAAAGGAAGAGATTCAGACCACGGATGTTAAAACTCGAAAGCTCCTCACCATGCATGGTGGGTTCCATCCCAAATGCAGCACCCTGTGACTGTACGTAAGTCGTAAAGAAGGAGGCAGAGGACTAGTGCGTGTGAGAGTCACTGTCCAGGACGAAACATCCAAACTCCATAACTACGTCATGGAGAAGGCCAAAACGGATGACGTACTCAGTGAATGTCTCAGACAGTGGCGAGATGAGGAGGTGCTGGAGGAGAAGCCCGTGGTGATCGGCGCACTCAGGGCAGTGACCCTGAAGCTGGAGGAGTGGTTACAGCGGATCCCTGGAACAACGTCGGACATCTCGGTCCAGAAATGTGCAGTGCTAGGAACAGCAAAGATACTGTGCAGAACCCTCAAGCTCCCAGGCTTCTGGTAGAGGACCCAAGCTTAGAGAGGGATAACTGCCCGCGGAGGGCGAAAGGTCAGCTGTGTGTGTTTCCTTTGTTTTATATATATATATATATATATATATATATATATATATATATATATATATATATATATATATATATATATTATTATTATTATTTTTTTGTTTTTGTTTTTTTTTCTTTGAATCCTTGTAGGATTTTTAAAAAAACTGAGCAGAGCGAGAGAGAGCAGAGAGCAGAGAGAGCAGCAGAGAGCAGAGAGAGAGCCAGGGATTTTGGAAGTGGGCGCACCTCTGGCTTGGGCTGCAGAGCTGTGGGAGTAGCCCAGAGTCAGAAGAGCCATCTCAATGAGCTGGTTGAAGAGCAGGTCTCTCTTGATCAGGACGAACTCTGCATGCTCCTCTGCGCGGGGCCCCTCCTGCACTGGAGGAGGCTCCAAGGGACTATTCTTGTGCTCCACCACGCAGAAAACCGGCAACAAGCTCCCTAAACACAGACACACATACACACGTGCGCACAGTACACATATGCACATACAAACCCACATGTTTGCCAACAGACATACACATGCGAACACACACAAAGGGATACGCACACACATTTAGACGTGAAAACAAAGCCACACTGCTTTATACATGCCTTTATGGGTTAGCTTCTATCATTGAGATATTAAATAAAAGTGGACAAAACATGTCAAGTAGTATGTAAAACCATTAATGTTATTTGCCGAAAATGTAATCAATTTAATCACAAGTGAACCCTTGGTATCACATGCCAGTTCTGACCAGTCTATGACCCGCTTAGCCTCATACATTAAAACAAATAAATATGTGATTGATGAAAACATAACTCTACTCTTGTCTTCTACGCATTAAATTAGAAAATCCAATACCTTTAAAAAGAACAACACACAAATGCAAATAACATAAATTGAAGAGAACTTGTTTAGAGACGATACAGTATCTGCATGTTGACTTTAGCGTGCCTTGCTCTGATCTTACCTCTACTGTGTGCACTCTTGCTTGAGCTCCTTCCTGGAGACGGTCTTGGGTTGAAACCAGGCCGTGTCCCCTCGTCTCGGAGTCCTTCCAAACGGGACAGCTTGGCTGCAGGGGGGCTGTGGTCAGGACTCAGGGCTCCGTTACACTGAGGATCCATGGGCCCCTGCAGACTGCAACACACCAGACAAGTCAGGAGGAGTTGATAGTAAATATTCACCCTATATCATAGATGGACCTAAAATAAAATGTATGTCTTCACATCATTTTGTGAAGTTCTCCAGTCCAAAGTGTATGCTATCTGAGCATGCACAGAGGTTGACGCGTGCGCCCTCTGCAGTGTTCAGCATCGACACTGCCATCGACTTCTTGCCATGGGCAAAGTCATGGGAAACGTCATCATCGTGCAGGTTTGGTCTATTATTATCTAATATTAACTGAGTGGTACTTTGGGACAATATGTACGCTATTTTATTCGGAAATACAGTCCCTAAATGTATGAAAAAAACATAAAAGGGGGTGTGGAACCGCAAGGTCCGGACGGGGATCCGTTGCGAATGCGTGAAGTGTGTCAACTCCATGGATACTTTTTGCTAGTAGGGTTTTTATTATCCAGTTAGCTTCGTTAGTGGCAAAGGAGATGGCTATGCTAAAGGCTAAATGCACTTGGGGACTTACAATCACTATTGATTGGCTAAACTTTGTGTGGATTATTGTTGAAACTGGTGTATTTATATTTTCTCTCCAGGTTGCCATCTGTGAGGTGGTAACTGCTGTGCCCTAAAACTGCATCCTGAAAGGTAATTTTTAATGTTTTGGCTTTTGTTGTATTTTCCCTTTTTAATCATCTTATTTGAACTCTCAGGTTATGAATGTGGAGTTGTAAGCTCTGCTCTTAAAGTGTATCTGCAAGTTACCAAATACTAAAACGTGAATGCATCCTTAAAGGACTGAGGGTCTTACTGAATGAGAGTCCTCAAAACCTCATCAAAGAGCATCTGGTAAGCTACACTGAAAGCAGTTAACAGTTAATCATTTTTAAGATAAGATAAGATAGACTTTATTGATCTCACACAGGAGAAATTTACATGTCACATCTGGCATGGATAGAATCACTCAAGGTTGTGCAAAAGAAAGAAATGTGCAAACATGTTAAAAGCAGGATATATATATACAATAAAAGTGTCAATTAAAAAGTGGCAATCAAAGAAACAGTGGCAATAGTAGTGCAGGTTTTTTAGTCCTAGTGCAAGTGACTTAAAGACCTTATGACGGGTTTGATTTATTTAGAAATACAGTTTTAATACCATTTTATATTAGAAGAGAACTACTAAAGGTTTCAAAATCAGTTGTTGTTTTTTTTGTCTGATCCCCCCAAATCGAAATAACCCCATAGCAACGCCTTTAGAAACAAAAAAACTTCACAGCCCTTGGTGACGTCAGAACGGGTACGTTTCAACGCTGTAAGTTGTTTACAATTTGGTATTCGTTCTTTTTTCGCGGATATTCAAGATGACAAGGCGGTGTACAGCGAGTCTAAGATAACTACTAGAATGTAACATTTCGTTGTCACCGAGATAGCCCAGTGGTTGTGTCGATGGACTGCCAATCCAGATACTTGGATTCAAATCCCACATCGGACACTTTTTCACACTCAAAACGGCAATTTATGTGTAGTGAGCAATTGTCACCTGTAGAGTGCAGTATTGTGTTGGGCATCAGTGGAGAGAAGAGAGAAAGTCCTGTGGCATAGATCCATGGTTTTCAATGCATGGGCGTAACCCGCTATGACGTCACACACAGGTTAGAGCATAGACAACTTAAATTCATGAAAAACACGTTCTTTTTATAAAATATAGGATTTTTTTTGCCGGAATCTCTTTCAAATTGACATTGTCATGCAATTTTGATATCCACTATTTTTTTTTTAAAAACCCGTCATAAGGTCTTTAAAGGGACACTGTGTAATATTTTTTGCCAACTAGCGTTGAGATCTTATACTGTATTGCAGTTAGGGCTGCAACAACAAATCGATAATATCGATAAAAATTTATTGTTAAAGCGTTGGCAACGAATTTGGTTATCGATTCGTTGTGTCGCGCAATTAATACGTCACCGAGCGCGCGAGTTGGGCGCATTCTTGTAAGTTCTATGGTTGAGCGGACGGACGCACATGCACCACAGAACTACACAACACTGCATGCACACTGCCGTAAAACTCCACAGAAGAAGAGCAGAGTGTGGCGAAGGTGGTCATACAGTCTATGGTGGAGGCAATTATTCGAGCAAGACCGCGTTGAACCAGTGCAGAATAGCGACGCGAAGGGAGCGTGCGAGTGTTGTACCGCACTAACTTTAGACACTTTGCACAGAGTCAGTGGGAACAGTGTTTCTCAGGGTCAGGGCTGTCATTGGGAGGTTCGGAGACAGGTTAGATTTGTGGAGAACAAGCCTGGAAGTCACGTCGGGGCGCCGCGCCGCAACTCCAGCCTCTGCTAGTCTCCGGTAAAATCTCCGCAAATAGTGCCTCCCACAGATGTATTATAGTGCCTCCCGCCATCACTGAGACAGCCTCCCACAGATGTATTATAGTGCTTCCCGCCATCACCGGGACAGTAACGTGTTGGAGAAACCTTCGTCTGGTGTTAGACGAGAGTGCAGGGGAGAGGAGAGAGGGCAGGGGAGATGAGAGAGAGAGCGGGGGAGATGAGAGAGAGAGAGAGAACAGGAACGAGAGAGAGCAGGGGAGACACATTTTATGAAAATTCTAAAACCCACAATTTCCAACGCCATACGACGTCATAATATGCTAATTAGATGGGTACACTTATTCCCTACATTAAACTTTTGGCCATCCTTAATAATTCTGTAATTTACAGAAAGTCTTTATCTCCTATCACTTTTAAGTTACAGCCTTTTGAAATAAAAATTTCAAACGTTTTTGAGTATATGCACTCAACAATGTACAATTACCCTAAAAATGACTTAATTACGCAAACGTGTCTTGTCTGTATTTGCTCTTTGGGTTAAACAACAAAACCTGTTTTGGTGCACTTTACTTTATACTGCATAGCATACATTTGTATGTTTCTTTGTGTTGATGATGGAAACTAAAAATGCTTTTTTTATCTGATTAATCAAAAAAATAATCGACAGATTAATCAATTATTAAAATAATCGTTAGTTGCAGCTCTAATTGCAGTCTATTATAGTACGGTGGCCTTTGAGAGTTGAGGAGCTCTGTCTTTGACAGAGCTCCTCAACTGAGTCCTCACCAGACTGCCAAGGAAAGAATACTTTAGTTTGATAAATGACCAGATCTCTCTAAACGTCTCAAGCACTTGACAATCGTGTAGAGACAACTTTTAAACAAGACCGCGTTCAGACGTGGCACCCGCTGCACAGAGGCTGCACTGCACTGAGTTTTACCATGGATCTATTATAATATATAGTTTTACAAACGCGGTGAGAAGAGAAGAGACGCATGACGATCGAAGAAGCAAGAGCTGCGGCAGACATGGCTAAAAGCTCATGTTAGCATTAGCGTTAGCCACAGCGCCCTATCTGCATTACGGTAAGAAAAACAGAACATTCACTCACGCTGTTGATAAAGTATTCTGGCGATTGTTTTGTGGGGATTCTGTGTGTGTTTTATTTGAGGCGTTTTCCCTGAATACGTCAATTTGAGACTTGTGACAGTAGTTGGACTGCCCTCGAATTGGGTCAGAACATCCTGAGACTGTGTTGCAGATTCTGCCTCGTTCTCATTATTGTCAGTGTGAAAAAGTTATGTATCGTTCACGTAGGGCTGGGCAATAAATCGAATGTTGGCAATTAATCGGCTTTTGAAAAAATCTAATATTGTGAGAATTACAGCAGCACATGAATTATACTTGCAATATCAGCACAGTCTGTACTAGACTTTTATAATACCTATTGGGGAAACAAATTAAAAATAATTTTGAAACTTGAATATTGAGCTGAAAGATCAAAACATATTTTTAAAGGCAAAGTCTGTCTTCGTTGACTTTAATGAAAATCGATTTAAATCGAAATCGTCCAAAGCAGGAAATAAAATCGAGATTTTACTTTTTTGCCATATCGCCCAGCCCTACGTTCACGTGTGAGTCAGTTGTGTACAAACTACACAATGTGCCTCCTGCTGTGCGTGTGGTTTGCGATGTTGACACTTTGCTGCTATGACGCTGGACTTCTGCATAATTATTTTTCTAAAAGACTGTTGTTCGGATTGTTCTTTTACATAATTGTGGTCCTCCATGGTTCTTTTATATAACTGTGGTCCTCCATGGTTCCTTCTTCTAACTTGTGAAGGCACGGTGAAAGCAACGATATCAGTAGCTCATGTGAAACAAAACGCGATTCTCGCATCCTTTTTGTCCCTTATCCACCACCGTTTTCCAAGATGGCGCATATTCATGGAGAGCACTCCTCTCTCATGGACACTTATAAGTTAAATTCTAAGCCTATGATTACATTTCCAAAAACATGGTGGAGGTAAATATTCTTAAAAAGGTCACATTTGTTATTAGTTAACATGTTTTTGCATATGGAGCAGATGTAAAAATTACACAGGGTGGCTTTAAAGTGACTCATTGTACAGTCTGACAGCGGTGGGGATAAAGCCCCTGCGGTAGCGCTCCTTCTTGCACTGAGGGTGCCTCAGTCTTCCACTGAAGGAACTCCTCAGCTCCTCTACAGTCCTGTGCAGTGGGTGGGAGGTGTTGTTCATGATGGAGGTGACTTTGGCTAGCACCCTCCTGTCCCTCACCTCCTCCAAAGAGTCCAGGGAGCAGCCCAGAGCGGAGCTGGCCCTCCTGACCAGCTTGTTCAGTCTACTCCTGTCCCGCTCTGTGCTGCCCGGGGCCCAGCACACGGCAGCGTAGTGTATGGCAGATACTACCACAGAGTCATAAAAAGTCCTGAGCAGAGGCCTGCTCACTCCGAAGGACCGCAGCCTCCTCAGAAGGAAGAGGTGGCTTTGGCCCTTCTTGTGCAGGGCGTTGGTGTTTTGGGACCAGTCCAGTTTATTGTTAATGTGAACACCCAGGTACTTGAAGCTGTCCACCAGCTCAATGTCCTCCCCCTGGATGTTCAGCAGCGTGTGGGAAAGTGGTTTTCTCCTTAAGTCGATTACATCTC